AGATTTACTGTAGTTGTTAAAAATATCAAAAGTTTAAATATCCTGAAAATGCAGAGTGGTGTTTTCAGAAAGAGTTTTTAAATAAATGTAGTAAATGCCTTGACACTAACTCACTTTTACTGTTTCCTTCCAGTTTGTGAAGTGTGGCTATGCGGGCTCAAACTTTCCAGAACACATCTTCCCAGCTTTGGTTGGAAGACCTATTATCAGATCAACCACCAAAGTGGGAAACATTGAAATCAAGGTAATATTTTATTTATTGATAAATGATGCTCAAGATGTGAAGTATTTGTTGATTAAAATAATTTTGAAATATGCGATGAAATACAAAGTGGGAGGGCAGAAATTTCTCATTTTAAATTTATATCAACATGTGAACAAGGGCATAAAAACTGAGGTTAGTTTCATCTGATGTTATATAAGTTCAATGCCATTACTGTCAGGAGTAAACTTAAGTTTTTTGTTTACAGTGATGCAAAACACTATATTAGTGACTTAAAGTCCTGTTACATCATTTTAAAAATAAGTCAGCCTGGCATTTTTATGTCTTTTAATTCTATATACTTGTCCTTATATGTCAGTGTCTCTTTGGGACCTTAAGCCTTTTCTTTCCATGTTTTCATGACCTGTTCCCCTTACCCCATCCCTTTTTTAAAAAAAATATAGCTAGTCAGGAAGACACAGTATGTAAATGTCAGTGCTTCCTCTTTTTGCTAATAACTGACTTCTGTAAAGTACAGGAAGAAGCTATGCAAGTCTTTATCTGGCCTTGCATTATTTATCTTCCCATAAGAAGAGATGGAGAAAGTTGTCATTGCCTCCTCACTGCACTTAACATGATAGACGTTACATTACAGATGATAGATTCTTCTGCCATATTAGAGGGATCAGCAGTCAAGTGGGAATTATGTTATTTTAGGAGAAAGAAATAGAACAATCGAAAGGACATTGGTCACCAGTTGACTTTAAATTTTTCAGGTGGCCTAGAGTTCAAGTTATATAGAATACAGAATTTAGGGACTCTTTTTTTTTTAGGGGCTTTTTGTGAACAACATATCATTGTTGGTCTTATCTGGATAGTCTGGTAAGATTTCAGTGAACTGCTAAGCTATGAGTTACTGAAATTTATTTCTTTGGGATATTTACTTACCACATTTGGGAAGGTGGTAATAGGTGTAATAATTTGCTACTTGGTAACTGCTTTTGATTCTAGAGACCCGAGTTACACAGTGAGTAGAAATACATATTGAAACCTAGGTTCTGTGTTAATTTTTTAACACAGAGTAAATTATTAAGTGAATTATTCTGGCCTCTGTTACCTTACCAAAAAATAAAACGGGACAGTCAATATAAGAAACCTTTTTTTTTTTAAAGGGTCTTTTCTTTTGGGAAATTTATGGGATTCCTTATTTTTGTGAACTCCTTTTATTCTGATTTTATTGAATCTTTTTTTTTGGAGAGCTTTTTGCCTCAGGGCACATGTGCTTGCCAGAAAGACAGAGAGAGAGAAAGCGAGAAATCACCCCCCAGGGGGGATGGCCACACCGCAATCCCTTCTCCTCTATTCTCCTCTCAGAATCTCGGGCATGCATGCACACACGCTTGGCGTGAGTTTAAGTCACCGGGTCCAGGACTTGAACCATGGTTGACTACATAGGAGTCCAGCGACATAGCCATTATGCTAACCGCTGGTCCCCTGATTTTATTGAATCTTAAATAAACTTTGACTTGAAATTTAGCTAGTAATTATGATAAGGATAAACTACTGTTTAAAGAAGTTGAAGATAATACTTTTTATTCAGTGTTAGGCTCTTTAAATGTGGCTTTTTAATATATTTTATGGACAAATAAAATTTTTGAGCTATGAGGATATATCATGTGTAGCCATTTTTATTCTCCAGCATAGCCACAAGTAATTACACATCTGTTAATACCCATTTTCTTGCTTTTTAAGGCCAAATGATAAAGATCAAACTTGTCAATATTCCAGTAAGATATTTTTATCAAGGAACTCATGTCCCTGTAGCATTTGCTTGTGTAGCTTGCCATTCTGCTTTCTACTGGCTCACTTCTGTTCAGTCTGCTCAGTCTTTTAAGCTTTTGAGTTAAATTGTTCTTTCAATAGAAGAGACCTGTGTCAAATTTAACTTGAATACTAGAGCTTTGAAAAACAGCCTTGAACTACCTAACTTTCAGCCTACTCAGCTAGACCTTTGCTATTATCATTTACTTTTCTTAAGGTCCCTAAATTCAGTAATGAATTAGAAATATGACTTTTTAGAATTCCTGTGCTTAGTGGATTGACTTATGTTTTTTCGTATCTTGTTAGCTAAATGAAAAGTTAAATTGTTGAATGAGTTAATTTTCATTCAGAAATAGTAACTGTCCATGTTAATTTGGCCCTGATTATTAACTCCATAAAATATAGTACTACTGCATCTGACCTCAACCTAATTTGTCTCTATTGCTTGTATGTTTAAAAATTTCAGTGAGGATTTTATTTAGGCCTTTTCTGACTCTTACTTCTACCTTCTCTCTCTTCACCTTTCTTGACCTGTTGAAGTAGAATAACAAAAAGATGGTAAGTGAGGTTACACACATGCTCTCTGTTTGTTTTCCACTTTTGCTTGGTGGGACAGTAGTTGTTGTTTTGTGTCCCTTTAGTATTGGGGGGATGATTCCATATTTTTATTTTAAGTACTTTAATTTTTGACCTTTTCCATTGCTTCAGTTTGATAGCAACTAATTAAGTCCTGTACTTTCCTGATTGCATACAATGGACCAAACAGAAACTAATTACTAACATAGTTTTGAATTGCTTTCCTTGTTTTTCTTGTAGATGAATGTTATAATTAAAATGGAATGTGGTTTGCAAATATTAGAAACCAAGTGGCTTTATAGAATACATGATCCAGAAAATCAGAGTGAACTCATTACATTCGGATAAATCTACTTTGTTGACCCATTACCCATTATAGCCTGAATCTCTATTTGTATCCACTATGGTATTATATACTTAATAAGCCCAGTGGAATTTAAATACACTTATGAACCATAGAAGGAAACAGGAATAAAAGAGAATGGCTTGTTGGCATTTTATCCATAGTGATGAGTACATCTGAAAACATTATTTGAGGATAAATAAGAATGTAAAGCACACGTAAGACTTTTCCACAAACAGCAGGTTTCCACCAAAAAATACTGTTGTGTGTTACCTCTTTCTTTTTAACGGGGCTCATCCTGGACATGTGACTCTTGCTACATTTTTCTGTGATAGTCTTAAGTGCTTTCATAGTAGATATTTTCAAGGTTGTTTTTAATACTATCTGTAAACAGCTTTGACCTAGATTAAAATCGGGTATTTCTAATGATACATTATTTTAACTAATTACTGTAACTTTTCTTTTGAATAAACATTTAAAAGTGGAAATTCATACATTTATCCTAAATAAAAGATCATACATTTTGTCTTAAAATCATAAAGAGATTTGGGAACCAGCAGTTAGCGTAATGGCTATGTCGCTGGACTCCCACATAGTCGACCGCGGTTCGTGTCTCGGACCTGGTGGCTTAAAACTCACGCCGGGCACGTGTGTGTACGTGCCCAAGATCCCGAGAGGAGAATGGAGGAGAAGGGATTGCGGCGTGACCATCCCCCCTGGGGGGTGATTTCTCGCTTTCTGTCTCTATGTCTCTCTCTGTCTGTCTGGTGAGCGCACGCGCCCTATAGCGAAAAAACCTCTCCAAAAAAAAAAAAAATCATAAAGAGATTTTAAAAGGGGTCTTCTTGTAGAGAACAATGTGGGCTTTTTGAATAGAATTTCCTTCTAAGGATTTAACTGTGGTTTTAAACTTGTGTTTGCCCTATCTTCTAATTTGAGGTGACATTGCTTAAGATGATTCTTGGTGAATATTATCTCTACTGTGTGCTATTTTACTGCCTTTGAAACAGTCTCTCGGATAGTTACTGTGCTTTTTTATTATTTCAGAGAATAGGTCATGGTTTAGGGCTGAGGACCAGGGGTAGGGCAGGTGCTAAAAACTCGAACCCTGATCTGTTGATTCTAACTCTGCTCCCAGAGATTAGGGCAAGTTATATAAAACTTGCAGCATTTTTGGGTTTTGGATGTTGAGGTATGGTAAGGAAGATTACATTTCTAAAATTTTTTTCAGGGGAGTTTTAAAGAATTATTTATTTAATTATATTATTATTATTGTTATTGTTATCTTTAATTTGACCAGAGAGAGACAAAGAAAGAGAAAGTGAGGAAGCAAGTTGCCAGGTTTGACCCTCGAACCATGGTCAACCATGTGGGAGTCCAGCACCTTAACCACCATCCCACCTGCTGGCCCTAATTTTTTAAGTTAAAATTTTAGATTAAATTTATGAAATTTTTTAGGAGAATTTTTTTATTTAATTTTATTTATTTATTTTAATTTGACCAGAGAGGGACAGAGTGAGAGCAAGAGAGAGAAAGAGAGAGGGAGGTAAGAAAGCAAGCCACCAGGTCTGAGACTTGAACTGTGGCCGTCCGTGTGGGAGTCCAGTTCCCTTAAACACCTGCTAGCCCCTTATTATTTTTTTTTTAAGTAGCTTTAGCTATTAAAAAATTTTTGCTTTTTTTCAAATAAAGCTAATGCTTTTCTTCCATCTTAAATGTCCTCTTTGTTTATGGGGAGGTAGGGACACTAGCCATTTCTTTCATAGGACCCTGTGTACTGTATGTGAAGAAGTAGATACATGAAGCTTTTGAGTTGGCATTGGGTCAACCATATGGAAGCCCCTATTGTGTAGAATAAAAGTAAATATTCTGTAGACACCAGATCAGACGTAACTCTAAATTGTTTGAAATGATATAGATAATATAAACTACCTAATTAGCTAATCTATTATCCTGTACAACACAGAGAAGGATATATTACAGAGAAAAGTAGTGAAATTGGGTAATAAGTTAGATTTGTCAGTGGCCAAAAGCAATGCATGTGTTTGTACGTGTAAGATTTTTCTTCCAACATTTTATTAAGCAATGTTTAGAATATATAGCAGTGTTGAGAGATTTCACAGTGAAACCTGAGTAGCCATCAACTAAATTCTGACATTAATATGTATTATACCGATATCACATAGCCATCAGTCCCTCCATCTACCAGTTCATCTTGTTTTTGATGTATTTCAAAGTAAATAGCAGATGTCAGTATACTTCTCCCTAAATACTTCCACATCTATATGTCATTCAACTACAGTTCACAGATTTTTAGTTTTGTGTTTTCCTCACAGAAGATTCTAAAGTTAATGTTTAAGAATTTGAATAATAAGTTATGTTAAATTAATTTTATAAAAAATTAGTTGAAACAGAACGTTTTAGTGAACATTTCTAGGATCTGCTTTGCTTTTTTTGTTTGTTTGTTTTTTAAAGAGAGATTTTTGCTATAGAGTGCATGCACTCACTGAAGAGACAGAAAGTGAGAAATTACCCCTCAGGGAGGATGGCCATGCCATTCCTTCTCCTTCATCCTCTAGGGATCTTGGGCACACACTCATACGCACTTGGCATTAAATTGCTGGGTCCGGGACTGTAACTGTGGTCGACTACATGGGAGCTCAGCAATGTAACCATTATGCAACTGCTGACCCCATCTCTTTTTAAGGGAGATTTTTTACTATAGAGCATTTGTGCTTGACGGAGAGACAGAGACAGAGAGACAGAAAGAGAAATCATCCCCTGGAGAGATGGCCATGCTGAAATCCCTTCTCTTCCATTCTCATCTCGGGATGTTGGGCACACATGTACACATGCTCAGCATGAGGTTTAAGCCACTGGGTCCGGGACTTGAACCATGGTCTTCTGTGTGAGAGTCCGGCGATGTAACCATTACGCCATCTGCTGATCCCTGTTTTCCTCTTTTTGATCTTGTTTTTGATGAGTTTTCCAGACATCTGTTTTTTAATAGGCTTCTCACCCTGGTTTTACTGTGATGTATATATTTTTTAATTATGTCTTAACAGCTTAAATCCCTCTTTTTTTTGCATTTTTAAGATGCTCTCTCTCGCTCTCTCTCACTCTCTCTCTCTCTTGCTCTCTATTATTTGCTAGAGGGATGTGCTTGCTGGAGGAAGAGAGGAGAGAAAGTGATGAAACACCTGCTGGGGGGGAGGAGCTATACTTCAAGTTCTTCTCCATTTCTCCTTTCAAGATTTTGGGCATGCAAGCAAACATGCCTGGTGTGTCTTTCAAGCCACTGGGTCCAGGACTCAGACCACACGACTGGCCATGTGGGATCCAGTTGACTTGACCACTGTGTGCCACTGGCTGGCCCAAGACATCTCAAGTTAATATTGCTGCTGCTAGGGACCAGCAGTTAGCGTAATGGCTGTGTCGCTGGACTTCCATGTAGTCTACTGCGGTTCGCGTCCCGGACCCGGTGGCTTAAAACTCACACCAGGTGCGTGTGCATGCGTGCCCAAGATCCCGAGAGGAGAACGGAGGAGAAGGGATTGCGGCATGACCATACCCCATGGGGGGTGATTTCTTGGTTTTTGTCTCTCTGTCTCTCTGTCTGGCAAGCGCACATGCCCTATAGCGAAAAAACCTCTCCAAAAAAAAAAAAAGAAAAAAGTATTGCTGCTGCTTTTCTTCGTGTTTCCATAATTTAAATTTAAGATACTGTAGCAAACAGTAGCTATTTCTGGTACTATTTTTTAAAATTATAATGTAGACATTATTATTTAACACTTTAAACTAGCTGATTTCTAAAATAAGTTTAAATTCTAGGAGTTCATTAGCCTTATTTTACCAGTCTGACTTTTCAAATGTGGGTCATCTTAAGTATGCTCTCATTGGAGACAAGACTTGTGAGTATCATGTTTCATGTATATAAGCATAGTTTTCTAATGTTATACCAAAGGATGAATTTCCCTGTGTCTTAATTTTTTTCTCTCTACAAATTCTCATTCATCTTGGTGAGGCATATGTAGAAACAATTTAAATTCTAATTCAGATGTGTAGGTAGATAGATGTTTGTGAAGTTTATCAGTTAATTGGTACATATATACTTTATTATAGATTGATAATCTTTTTTTTTGCTTATTGCATTATGCTTTATAGTACTTACACTTATCATTTTGATATTTAGTAAAGAAATGTGCTGCATGCATTGAGCATTTTTCTACAAGCTTTTTCCCCTGATGTGCTATTTCACATATCACAGGCTTTATTTTTTGAACATTTGAGCAAAAGAAACAGATGAAACCTCATACAAAAGCTTCCAAAATATGAAAATGTGGGGTTTATTTGTGCTAATGCTCTTCTTTTGGAAACATATGTTTTAAAGGTAAGGTCAATTTATTGATTTAAACCACGCTGTACCTAAAACTTTATTATTTATTATTAAACTTTGCAAGACATTGTTCTTGAAAGAAAAGATTTTTAACTTGTGGAATAATGAGCTAACTGAAAATGCCTGAAAGATTAGAATTAATTATTCCCAAGTTTTCTGAAATAGCATGGGTATATAAGTTTTTTAAAGCATGCAAAAGTTTGACTGATCTAAAGCTTTGATATTATAATTTTCTAGGACCTTATGGTTGGTGATGAGGCAAGTGAATTACGTTCCATGTTAGAAGTTAACTACCCTATGGAAAATGGCATCGTACGAAACTGGGATGACATGAAACACCTGTGGGACTATACATTTGGACCGGAGAAACTTAACATAGATACCAGGAATTGCAAAATCTTACTCACAGAACCTCCTATGAATCCCACTAAAAACAGAGAGAAGATTGTAGAGGTGAGTTTTTAGATGAGGTATGCCTGTGTGTGTTTCTGTCAAAAATTTTTATTTGCTTTTACCATTGTTGCTTTGGATAAAAAGACTAAAAATTATTGTTGGTTTTTCCCCCAGATTCTAAATATTAAGCACTTACATATGTTAGTCATTATTCCAAGTAGGATCTATTAGTAACCAAAACAAAATTTACTGCCAAGGGACTTGTATTCGATTTAGCAGGGAAAATAGACCAAAAACAATAGATGAGATAATTAAATGGTTTGTTAGAAGGCAGTAGATGCTAAAGGAAAAAGATATAATAGGTTAAAGAGAGCGAGAGGTTGCACTTGTTCTAGGTGTGGTAGTAGGCCTCCTCGAGAACGTGCTATTTAAACACAGACTTGGTGAGGGAGTTAACCGGGACACGGGGGGGGACAGCGTTCCAGGCACAGGCACAAGCACAAGTAGTGGGAAGGTCTGACTTACAGGGGACAACTCCATCGTGTTAGAGGATCAGCACAAAAGACCCTGTGGCTGGTGGTAGCGAGGAGGGCAATGGATGGGGCTGGCGAGTGACATTAGGGTCCCGTAGGCTCTACTAAGGAAGGGCCTTCACTCTGACTGAAATGAGAGACGACTCAGAGAAGGGACATGCTCAGATCTGGGTTTTTCTGGCTGCTGGGTTGTGAGCACACCATAGGGAGGCAAAGCTAGAAGAGAGACTTGTTTGGGAACTTTTCCACTTATTTAGGCAAAAAGATGGTGGTTAGGATCATGGTTAGCAGTGGTAGGATTAATGAGAAGGCACCAGATTGTAGGTCTGTTTTGAAGGTAGGACTGAAGAATTTTCTGATGCATTAGATACGGATAATAGGAGGGGGGTCATGACTCCAGAGGTTTTGAATTGAATAACTGAGGATGGAGTTATCACCAGCTGAGGTGGTGGTGGGGGGCCTTGGAAAACTAGAATGAGAATTGAGGAGAATGACCAGGGATTCAGTTTCAGTCATGTGAAGAATGAGGTCCTCATTTGATATCAGGCAGAAACGTCAGGTACAATATATACAGAATCAAGTTTGGGAGAAAACCTGGGGCTGGAGATAACTTGAGAATCATCATGGATGATACAGTTCACCATAGAAGCGAGAGTCGGCCATTGAGGAAGGGCCAAGGAGGAGGGGGGGGGCAGCCACAGGAGGCAAAGGCTCAGGAGGTGTAAGCAGTTAGGAAAAGAGGGAGCATGGGGCCACCTCCCAATAGCTCAGCTAAGTAATTTTTCGAGGTTCTCTTTCATTTTGTTATATATGGGATAGACACTTTTGCTTACTTTCTGTATTTTAGTAACTTTCTAGTTATTGTGTAATGTAAATATTATGTTTTATCCTACAAGTATGGTTAGATATTGACAGCAATTTTGGAAGGGGGTTAAAAGAAATATTAAGACTATATTTTCAAAATCTGGATTAAAAGTTAATTTTTGTGGTAAGTGTTTTGAAAATTTGAAAGCGTGGTTTTAGTTATATCATTTATATCATTCCTTATGGCTCATATTTTAATACTGTTGCTTATGAGTGAAAATTTGGCTATGATTGATATTGTCATACTTCAATCTCATCCAGAAAGTTGTTTTAGTAGTACAAGTACTTTAATAGTCTTACAAATAAAAATAGATTTTAGATGTGTCTGCCCTAGGCAAGGGTGGCAAGATGGTGGCCTTTACCTTTGCTGATGCCGTGAGAGCTGCTTCAGGAATCTGACAACCCCTAAATATTTTGGCTCTTCAGCCTATCAAAATTGTGTCAGGAATGCTGGTCTTACTTCTGCATACTCATCATATTCAGAAATTCGTTGTTTCCCCTGCTCCCAGACTTCTCCCATCAGAGACCTGACGTGTGGGCATACTGCATCAATCCTTAGCAGAGTGGTGGGCCCTAGCTTCCAAGTGTCCTGAAGCTGAGTGGGTCAGAACTGTAGTATAGGCCAGTTCACAAAAGACAGAAGTCTGAAGGCTTTCATCTGTTGGTTTCTTTGATTTCATTCTGGCCTTTGGCTAAGAAAAAAGTCTGGTTATAAGAAAAAAATTAGAGAAAAATACAAAAGCAAGAGAAAGATGCTTCAGGGAATTTGTGTTGTGCAGTAAAACCCAGGGTAAACTCTTAGATAAAATGACAGTGTCTTTCTGGAAGAGGCAAAACTGGTATGCTGATGCATCTTATCAGAAGTACCATGATAGGGAACCAGCAGTTAGCGTAATGGCTATGTCGCTGGATTCCCACGTAGTCCACTGTGGTTTGCGTCCCGGACCCGGTGGCTTAAAACTCACGCCGGGCCCATGTGCGTGCATGCCCAAGATCCTGAGAGGAGAATGGAGGAGAAGGGATTGCAGCGTGACCATCCCCCCGGGGGGTGATTTCTTGTTTTCTGTCTCTATGTCTCTCTGTCTGTGGCGAGCGCATGCGCCCTATAGCGAAAACCTCTTTAAAAAAAAAAAAAAAAGAAGTACCATGATAGAACAAACCAACCTGAAAGTATACATCATAAGTTTCGCAATTGCCCAGTTGAGTATGTATCTTGCATACATGATGTTTTTGCAAAAATGTGTAAGCATAAAACTTTATGTAAATTGTATCAGCTGATCTGTAAACATAGGATACCAACATGAAGGGTATGAAAGTTTTGAAATGTAGTGGATTAAACATGCCCAGATTTGCTTAGAAGAGAAACAAAAAAAGAGATCTAAACAGACTTTCAGTTGGTATGTGCGTGTATAGCATCACTCTTGCATTTTTATCCCTGTGGAGGAGGAGTAAAGGATGATGGACCAGAGGGGCCAGCAGGTGGCATGGTGGTTGAGGCACTGGACTCCCACAAGGCAGACCACAGTTCAAGTCCCATATGTGGTGGCTTGAAAATCATGCCAGGCATGTTGCATGCATGAGCATACATGCCCTATAGCAAATTTTTAAAATAATAATAAATAAATAATAAATATTTTAAAAAAGGATGATGGACTAAAAAACTAGCCTGTGTATCTAGTTGTTTAATTGATTAGTGTGTGTTTCAGAGTATAAAAAATTTAAATTCTGGGGGACTAGCAGTTAGTGTAATGGCTATGTTGCTGAACTCCCATGTAGTCAACTGCGTTCAAGTCCCGGACCCGGTGGCTTAAACTCAACGCCTGGTACGTGCGCATGCATGCCCAAGATCCCAAGAGGAGAATGGAGGAGAAGGGATTGTGGCGTGGCCATCCCCCCCTGGGGGGTGATTTCTCGCTTTCTATTTCTCTATCTTTCTCTGTCTTTCTGGCGAGCGTACGTGCCCTATAGCAAAACAAAACAAAACAAAACAAAAAACTCTCAAAAAAATGTTTAATTCTGTATAATTCTCTTAATGGTCAATTGTAAAAGTTGAAAGTATCCAGATATTTATTTAAAGTGATGGTCCTACCAGTCAAGGAGTACTCACGATAGATGTTCCCAGCTGATCTGGACTACAGAGAATGAGTATAGAGGTGTGACCAGAGAGGGCAAGAGAGAGCTCCTTTTTCCTCCAGTGTAGGTCCGTCAGGGATGGATTTACAGCCTTGACTCAAGTAGAGATCGCAGGCTAGCAGCTCAGCCAACAGTCAATCCACTGCATTCATTTTTGTTTTTGTCTTCCTATTTTACTTTTTTTTTTTTTTTTTTTAATTTTTGGGAAAGAGCTAATGACTTGGCCCAGGTTGAGGAAGAGGGGTAAGAACTCAGTAGTTAAACAATTTCTGTATCTTTGAGTTAGAAGATATTTACTTTAAGGGGTATCTGTTAAGAGAGTCTTCAAATGCAGAAAACTTTCTTATTAATGAGCCATTAACTAATACATTCAGAAATCTTTGCTTTGTAGCACCTAGAAAATGCCTGGACACTCGGTAGGTATCCAAACATTTGTCCTCAGAATTGGAACTCTTACAGTAGGGACTTTGTAATAGAGGCCAGAGGAGCTGATAAGAGTGGAGGATTCTTTCGGTTCCTGTATTCTATTTTGGGCAACTAATCCACTCTGTGACCATGAAGAATACATTAAAAAAAAAATTAACTCTAAAAACCCACTTTTTCTTCCCTTTTTCTCTGCATTTTCAGGTAATGTTTGAAACTTACCAGTTTTCTGGTGTATATGTAGCCATCCAGGCAGTTCTGACTTTGTATGCTCAAGGTAGGTGGAACTTAACTTTTAGAAAAGTCATCTTGACAAATATTTATAAAGTACTTTTAATAACAGATAAATAGGATTTCTCAATAATGTATAAATCCCAGAAATATACATTAATTATATATCAAACTTTGAAATATTTTCAGTTTCTGAAATTTGTTAAAAAAAGATGTGATAAACATTTTAATTTGATTTGTTAAATAATAAAGGATTTTAGGTAAAAAGTGTATCAGTTTTTTTTTTTTTTTTAAATAGGATGTGTTCTGTCTTTTAGGATATTTTACTGTTTTTATGCAGTAGTGATTAAAAAGAAAATTGTCTTTAGGATTGACTTGAGTTTAAAAAAATTACAGAGATCCAAAAAGGTTAGCATAAAACCATGCTTGTCAAATATGTAATAGATTAATTAAAAGAGAAAAGGCAAACATTAGGGAGCACATCCCTGACTTTCAAGGTGGATTTAATAGAAGAGAATACTAAATTCTCTTGGTATTACTATTTGCAGCTGCTTCCCTGTCTATTGGAAATAAAGTATTGGCCATATTGGGAGAGCTGTTTATTTGTAGCTTTTTGCCATAGGGGAAAGACAGAGGTTAAGTGAGAAATCACCAACCAGGGGGAATGGCCGTGCCACAATTCCTCCTTCACCACTCTCCTGGGATTTTGGTCATACACACATGTATGTGCCCAGTGTGATTTTCAAGCCACCAGGTCTGAGACTCAGCCCATGGTTGACCATGTGAGAATCCAGCGCTTTACCCACCACACCACCTACTGGCCCTGAGTGATTTATATTTTGGTGGTCTTAATATGTTCAACAGGAATTTACTGAGAATTTGTAGGTCTGTCAAATGTATGTCAAGGAGTCTTTTAGGCTCCTTTGAAGTATAAAGATGCCCTCAAAGAAATTTGAGTCTTAGGAGAAAGAAAAATACAGAAACACAATTTTGCTTGATTATATCAGAGAGAAGCTTTTCGAAGAGATGTTCCCTGAGCTAAGTCTCAAATCTTGCTACTTCAGCGGTGCGTAGATACAGTACTTAGAAACCTGGTGTATTTTTTTGCTTTGGTTGCTGTTTTTATAACTTGAAGAGTTTAGTATTGTGGTGATCTGACTCTACATGTGGTTCAGTAAAAAATCAGGTAGTATGGAGGTTAAGGCAGCTGGATTCCACATGACTGACTGTATCATTCAAGTCTCGGGCCTGGTGGCTTGGGAAACACGTTAGGTGCATGTACGTGCATGCCCAGTATCCTGAAAGAAGGGAGAAATGGAGGGGAAAGGATCACTGTGTGGCTGTCCCCCTATGGGGATGCCTTCTCACTTTCCTCTGTCTCTGGCTAGTATACACACTGACAAATAAGAGAAAAAAAAAATCTTGTGTTGCATTTCACATATATAAAAAATAAAACGTTAAGTTTTTAAATATCTAGTGTACTACATGTACTTAGAAAATGCTTGCTTGGGGAAATTAAACTTCAAGTTAAAGCTGTTTAAGGAAGCTTTGTTCATTCACCAAATTTAATAGAATGCTTTACACCCTGGTATGGAAGTTTTAACAGTGCGGAAGATAGATATGGCTCTGTCTTTTAGGCAATCAGCTGAAAGTGATTTTTTATTTGAAGGAGTCAAAAGTCACTTCCTACTTTACAAGGTGGGAGAGAGTGTCTGCATCTGAGAAATTTTATTCTAGTTTTTGCTATAAGGGCACGTGTGCTTGCCGGGGGGCAGGGAGAAAAGTGTGAGACATCACCCCCTGGGGAAATGGTTGTGCTACAGTTCCTTTTCCATTCTCCTACTGGGGTTTTGGGCACCCATGTTTGGCATTTTTCAAGCCTCTGGATCCTGGACTTGAACCATGCAGTCAGACATGTGAGATCCAGTTGCCTTAACCTCTATGCCACCTGCTGGTTCTATTTTGTATTTTAAAAGTAACTTTCAGAAATTATTTAATAAAATATTTTGGGGTGGGGGAAACGAGGCCAGCAGGTGGCATGGTGGTTAAGGCACTTGACTCCTGCATGACTGACTACATTTTGAATCTCGGACCAGGTGACTTGAAAATCATACTGGGTACATTTGTGTACATACCCAAAATCTAGGAGGAGAATGGAGAAGGGATTGCTGTATGGCCATCTCCCTGAGGGGTGATTTCTCACTTTTTCTTTTCTCTGTCTCTGCCTCCCTCCGCCAAGTGCGTGAGCCCTATGATAAAAACCTTAAAAAAAGGAAATTTGGGCTGGCAGGTGGCGTGGTGGTAAGTGTCCTGGACTCCTAAATGGTCAACCTCAATTGGAACCCTGGATCTGGCGGCTTGCCTTCTCACCTTCCCTCTCTCTCTCTCTCTCTCTCTCTCTCTCTTTCTCTGGTCAAATTAGAATAATAATGATGATGATGAATTAAAGTAAGTAATTCTTTTAAAAGAAAACAGAAATTGACCTTAAGATTTTCCTAGCAATATGCATAAATTAATTTTTGTCCAATGAGAAGATACCTTTTCTTAATTCCTGATATTTAACTATTTTAGTTTAAATGTTGAATCCTTAATTCTGAAAAATAGTAGTTCAGTAATATTAACCACATTAATTTCAAAGCATAGTAAAATTCTCTTCCTTCTAAACAGGATAGCTAGTACTATCAGTAAAAAACAAAAACAAATAAAAACAGGAGGAAGCATTTAGATCTGTAGAAAGTTTTTGAATAAAAGAAGTAACGTGATTTAGGAAGTTCTTTGACTGCTTGGGGAAGAACTGGAGTTGGGAGATCTGGGCTGCAGATTAAAGTGGTCAGGGAAGAGATGACGAAAAGGGAAGAGTTCTGTTAAGCCTTTAACAGAGTGGTTTAGAGTGGAAGCCTGGATAATGCCTTGACAAAAGGGTGTGGCACTGGAAACAGTCAAGGTGTTCCCGGGAAGGCCACTAGATGGCCCAGTGGGAATGACAGAAAGTAAGGGGAGTTTGGGTAAAAGGGCCATCTGGGAAATTAAACTCAAATCCCTGCTTTAGTTGATATGAGTAGGAATATTTTGAATTGATAATGTAGATTCCTCTTTTTAACAGTGGAAAGTCTCATTTAAAAGATGACAACATCAAAAGGCCGTTTTATGGAGCTTGATAGCATCAAGAAATAACAAATTATATCAACTTAAAAAGGTGGTTTGAATAAATGAATTCAAAGACAAATCATTGCAATTAGATAATTGTGCATGCAAATCTGTATTATTCAGAAAGAGAAAAGGACGGGGCCGGTAGATGGGGTAATGGTTACTTCACTGGACTCCCACAGAGTTGCCTGCAATTCAAGTCCCAGACACGGCAGTTTAGAACTCACACTGGGCATGTGTGCATATGAGCCCAAAATCCCGAGAGGAGATTGGAGGAGAAGGGATTGTGGTGTAGCCATCCCCCATGGGGGGTGATTTTTTTCTTTCTGTCTCTCTGACCAGCACATGGGCCCAAAGCAAAAAATCTCTGGAAAAATAAAAAGAAAAAGAGAGAGCCTATTCAATGATGTAATTCCTACAATATTTTTTCTTTCCTTACCTTGAAAGATAGCTGGTCATATCCCTCCCAGCAATATCCAGTCTGTAATAATTTTTCCCAAAAATGTGTTAGAAAAAGTTATTTTCCACCTGAATTAATCCTGGTGCAAAATTTAGAAAACTAACTTTTTGTAGTCATTTCTACTTTTTTTGAGAGAGAGATATTTGTTATAGTGCATGTGCACTCACAGAGAGACAGAAAGCAAGAAATCCCCCCACGAGGGGATGGCCAAGCTACCTTCTCTTTTCCACCATTCTTATCTTGGGATCTTGGGCATGCATGCAAATATGCCCAGCATGAGTTTTAAGCCGCTGGGTTTGGGACTCAAATGGAGATTGACCTATGTACGTGAGAGTCCAACAATGGAATCATTATGCCATCTGCTGGTTCCTCTACTTTTTTTTTTTTAATTTACTTATTCATTCATAGAGAGAGAGACACAAAACCCCAATGGGGTCCTGATGCTATAATCTACCCCCAGCCTTCAGCCAGCCCTGGGTCATGGACAAATGCATGCCTGGCATATATAGGGAGGTCTTTGGCCATACTGAGAACCTTCATATGAGGGATTACCTCGGAACCTCATGCTTTACTGCTGCAGCACCATCTGACCCCTGTTTGCACTTTTAATAGCATATACGGAAAACAAGGCAGTGCTTCTTTACTGTTCTTTTATTGTCAGGTTTAACTTGCCATTACCATTCTGGTTTCCAGTGAATAATTGAAGTGATGCTTTGGCTAGCTGAGATTAATTGTTCTGATTGCTGGCTACCTACTATCAATAGTCATTTCTCGGGACCAGCAGTTAGCGTAAAGGCTATGTCGCTGGACTCCCATACAGTTGACTGCGGTTCGAGTCCTGGGCTCAGTGGCTTAAACTCACACTAGGCGCATGTGTGTGTGCCCAAGATCCCGAGAGGAGAACGGAAGAGAATGGAGGAGAAGGGATTGCGGCCTGGCCATCCCCCTGGGGGTGATTTCCGCTTTCTGTCTGTTTCTCTGTCTTTCTGGCAAGTGCACGTGCCCTATAGCAAAAACCTCTCAAAACAAACAAATAAACGAACAAAAAAAACAAATTTACTGGCTTTAATTTTTCTAGTTAGCTTTTTACTAAATCTTTATCTTGGAATCAGCAAGTGGCATGGTGGTTAAGGCACTAGATACTTTTGCCAACCACGGTTTGGCCAACCATGGTTTGAATTCCAGACCTAGTGGCTTGCTTTCTCACTTTCCTGCTCTCTGTATCTATGTGTGTGTGTGTGTGTTGTGTGTGTCTGTCTGTCTCATTGGTCAAATCAAAATAAATGAAAGAATGAATAAAATTAAATAATTCATTAAAAAAAAAAAAACCCTTTTTCTTAACTTAGGTTTATTGACTGGTGTAGTGGTAGATTCTGGAGATGGTGTAACTCACATTTGCCCGGTATACGAAGGCTTTTCTCTCCCTCATCTTACCAGAAGACTGGATATTGCTGGGAGGGATATTACCAGATATCTTATCAAGGTAAGGAAAGAAAAAATACTGTAGGAATTACATCCTGTAAGCTGTTTACTGACTTAAAACAAAATTGTTTTATCATAGGATTCTAGCAAATCTGTCCTACTAGAGAAATTACCCCGTTTTCCTAGTATTCATGTAAAAACCCATGTAAGATTTACATACATGATCGCTTGTACACTAATGAGAATACATTACTTCATCAAAGAATAGACAGAAAGGAGTATTTCAAAGATGAAAGAGACCTAAAACTTCCTTGGCCAACTTAGGTAGTCTTTCTACCTTAAAACTTTTCCCTTGGCAGATTGCCTTTAAGATAATAATAATATTTTATAGCATTTAAGAAATATAACACTACCCTCAGGTTTCCCAACAGTTCTCTTACCATACATTTATAAACCCTTCTAATATGTTTCAGCAAAGTTCAAGAAGCTAAGAATTAAACTTTCTAAGACCTATGGGTATTTCATAAATATAGCATTGATTATATGAGCAAATTGCAGGAGTCTAGTACTAAAATAATATCTACTAATACATGTTTTATTGTTTATCAGCACTATCTAAACATAAATAGTCAAACACACTCTTTTTAAACTGACCCCTTTTTAAGCTTGTTTTACCCATTTATTTATAAACTGTTAATTCTGTTACTTCCAAAAAGAAATATAAATCCTTTTATGGCAAATAAAATCTCTGCTTCTGAAATACCTAGTAGAAACTGAGGATCTACTGCCCATTGTACTCACTATTGCTGTGACAAGTTCAAAGGCATTAATTGCTTGGTAGAGGAGACTCATCCAGCTCTGTAATGAACTGACTGCTGTTTTTTTTGTACCAGTTGCTTCTGTTGCGAGGATATGCCTTTAACCATTCTGCTGATTTTGAGACAGTCCGCATGATTAAAGAAAAGCTGTGTTATGTGGGATACAATATCGAGCAAGAACAGAAACTTGCCTTAGAAACCACAGTATTAGTTGAATCTTACACAGTAAGTATTTTCAGTGTATGATATATGTGTGATTAAAAAGGGTATGTGCTGGTAGGTGCTGCTGTTGGGTTGTCATTACGTATTTCTTCTGTGTTCTATGCAAAAAAAATGCATCGTGACTTTTCTGACAATCCAATATTTGAGTGGCTGAGGCTGTGTGGGAAGTGGTGTTGTAACTCCACTACTTGGGAGGCTGAGATGGGAGGATTGAGACATGGCAGGAACTCATCTTTTTCTTTTAAAGAACAGCCATAATTATTGGTCAGCTTAAGGATGTTTTCTTAGGATTCATATTTTTTGTTTTGGGTTTTTGTAATCTGTGTGTCTGCCTTTTAATGTTTCTTCCTACATTAAGATTCTATGATTGATTATTTTAAGGGACATCTTTTAAGCAAGAATCATAAATTACCCTCTGCCTTAGGGTATAATTAAATCTGAGCTATTTTGAGTTTCTATTGGTTCATTGGCAGTCATGATGCACTTTTGTATAGGAAAACAGAAAAATATGTCATGACTTTTCCAATGACCCAGTAGTATCAGGAATAGCATTTCTCTTTTTTTTTTTTTTTGAAGAGGTTTTTGCTATAGGGCACGTGCATTTGCCAGGAAGACAGAGACAGAAAGCGAGAAATCACCCCCCAGGGGGATGGCCATGCCACAATCCCTTCTCCTCCATTCTCCTCTCCGATCTTGGGCACGCACGCACTCGCGTCTGGCGTGAGTTTAAGCCACCAGGTCCGGGACTCGAACCGCGGTTTACTACATTGGAGTCCAGCGACATAGCCATTACACTAACTGCTGGTCCCAAGGAATAGCATTTCTCAACATCTGTTTTGGAGAATTGTCTTAGTCTGTTGTTGAATTGCTAATGGAAATACCTGAGATTGGGCAGTTGTATAAAGAAATACACATTTATTCAGGTCATGGTTCAAAGGTTTAGGGTTGAGGGTCTGATTTTTGGTGAGGCTACAGAATGGTAGAGGGCAATTTCTTTTTTATTTCTTTTTTTAAAGAATTATTTATTTGGGGGGACTGCAGGTGGTGTAGTAATTAAGGCACTGGACTCCCACATGCAAACCATCATTTCGAGTCCAGACCTGGCGACTTGAAAATCATACCAGGCACATATGCACGTACCCAGAATCCCAAGAGGAGAGTGGAGGGGAAGGAATTGCAGTGTGGCCATTCCCCCCGGGAGGTGATTTCTCACTTTCTGTCTCACTGACTGTCTCTCTCCCTGGCAAGCGCACACACCCTGTTGGAAAAACCTTAAACTTTTTTGATTTTTAATTGTATTTATTATTATTATTTAATTTGCTATAGGCACATGTACTCACCAGAGAGAGACAGGGCCGGGTGGGAGGAGTGAGAAAACAAGCCACCAGGTCCTGGGCTTCAACTGCGATTGGTCTTGTGAGATTCCAGCATGTTAACCTCCAGGCCACCTGCTGGCCCTGGAGGGCAGTTTCTTAAGCAGACAACTCTATTACAAGTTTCTGTGTCTCATTCCTTCTTCTTGAGTAGATTCAAGTCACAGGGGCCCTGCCTTAAGGACATTATCACACGCAGAGGCCCCACCCTAGAATATGATGAAGGGATTATATTTTAACTTACTACCTCTACAGTACAATCAAGTCCTAACACAAGAACATTTGGGAAAGATACAGTTATGGCCTACTAAGACTAAATTCTAAAACATGAACTTTTGGAGGACAATCAGTTTTATTTCTTTCAGATGTTAGTGTTTTACAGAAATTTAAAAAGACTACCTTGCCAAATAAGTTTGGCAGAGTTGATTTCATGTTATTGTAGGAGCTCTCAGAGTCTGTGATATGCTAATATGAGTGCAGCTGTGAGAATGTAGTATACCTGTTTCAAATGTTTTTAAATTGTCAGAGTGCACATCCTTTCGGCAGAGAGCGCGAGAGCCCTTTCTGATGGGGTGTGGGCACGCCACCATCTCTTCTCTGTTTTTCCATCCATTATGATTTGGGGCACTTGTGGACACATACCCAGTGTTTTTCAAGGTGATAGAGCTGAGATTCGAACCACAAATGGTCACATGTATCAACTCCCTTTATCACTAGTCTGCAGGGCTAGCTCAGTTTTTCAAAGTTACTAGACTACTACAAAACTTTTCAGAATTTTATGGGACTAGTGGACTAAGAAAGTGGTCCTGAGCCTTTTTAGTATCAGGGACCAAGGAAGACAGTTTTTCCATGGACCCAGGGGGTTGGATGGGGAGTTTTAGGGTAATTCAAGTTCATTACATTTATTGTGCACCTTATTTCTGTTGTTATTACATTGTAATACATAATGAAATAATTATGCAGCTCGCCATAATGCAATATTTGCAGCTAGCTGCTCTCCAGCGCTAGCATGACCACCTCAGCTCCTCCTCAGATCACCAAGCGTTAGATTCTCATAAGGCACCCTCAGCCTAGATCCTTTGTATGCACAGTTCACAGTAGGATTCACCTCCTATGAGAATCAGTAATGTTCCACTGATCTGACTGGATGTGGAGCTCAGACGATGGAGGTGGCTGTAAAGACGGACGAAGCTTCTCTCACTCGCTCACCTTTCACTCACCTCCTGCTGCATGTCCCAGTTCCTGTTAGGGCACTGGTCCTTGGCCTGTGGGTTAGGGACCCCTGGTCTAAGACATATTCTGAGAAGTAGTCATCCTAGAGTATTGCTTCACTAATTCAGTGAGTTGCAGCATTTTGTGACTTGGTGCTTTCTTAATGATGGGCTCAAAACAAATACTAACTTGAATTTGTGACTAATAAGACTCAGAATCTAGTTATAGTTTACAGCACCAAGGGGGTTGAGCTGACTTGAATTTTTAATGAATTTCCATCTTAAGCATGTTAATCCCATCTGGATATATAAAGTACTTCTGCATCTCTTTGACCTAGTTATTACTAAAATGAAATCACGTAATAGGCAATAAAAGCACCTTAAACCATGTTAGTTCTTCCATCCACAAATATGCAAAATTATCATTAATTATAAAGTTTTATAAAAAAATTTTAAAGGTACTGACCCAACTATGCTATAAAACCCATTTTGTCACCTAATGATCTCCAGATTTGCCATAGATTCTTTCCTAAATCCTATTTTTTAATACATTTTTTTCTTTATTCATAATTGAACGCATGTGTGCATACATGTGTGCATTCTTCCTCTAGTTCTTCATCCTGTCAGGATCCTGGGCACACATGCATGCTTCTCACCCATTGCCCTCAAGACCAGGATTTGAATCCTGGCAGCCATGTGGGATCTGGTTTCCTTAACATAGCTCATAACTGCCAGCCCCATAAAGCCTTCTTAGTTTGCCTAGATTTTGTAACTTTTCATCTCTCTGACTTTTTTGGGCAAAAGTGGCACAAGGCAAAAGATGGAGAAACTGGAATTGTAAAATACATTTTATGTATTTTTTTCTTTCCTTTCTCAAAGACTTTGAGATAGCTTAAAAAATATGAGTAACAAATGTTAAACTGATGGGTAAATAAAGCAGGACGAGGGTGGACAAATAAAGTATAAGATTTGGTACGAGTAGTAGGGCATGTACACTCACCAGAGAGACACTCACCAGACAGACATCCCCCAGGGGGGTGGCCACACTGAAATCCCTTCTCCTCCATTCTCCTCTTGGGATTTTGGGCACACATGCACACGTGCCTGGTGTGTTTTAAGTCACCGTGGTCCTGGATTCGAACCATGGTCGACGTAACCATTACTCCATCTGCTGGTTCCGCCAAAAATTGATTTTAACAGTTTTCAGCATACTTGGAAAACCGACCACATGCTGGCCAGCAGCCAAAGACAGTATGGGGAGAAGCCATGCTCAGAGGCCAGAGTGTATGATAAAGAGGTTTTGCCAAGAGTTGGTTCTGTGAAGCCTTTTCAAATATCTGGGGTGATTTCATATAAACTCACCTAAGGATTTCATTTGCATTTTGTTTCATTTTTAATTTTTGCCAGAGAGCACATGCATTCTCCTGAGAGACACAGAGAGAGGGAAAGGGAAAAGGCACCCTCTATGAGGCATGTTCATGCCAAATCCCTTTTCTTCCATTTCTGCCTCCGTTTAGGATTTTAGACACACATGCACACATGCCTGGTGTGCTTTTCAAGATCAGTATCAGGTCCATGGTTCTAGCTAGAGTCAGCCATATGGGATCCTGCTGCCTTAACCATCAGACCACAGGATCGCGCTTATTTTTGGACAAGTATCCTTTTTTTAAAAACTGGACACAATTTATTAAAAACTAATTTAGAGAGACCAGCAGTTTGCGTAAGGCTATGTCGCTGAACTCCCACATAGTCAACTGTGGTTCGAGTCCTGGACCCAGTGGCTTAAACTCACGCTGGGCGTGTGTGCGTGCGTGCCCAAGATCCCAGGAGGAGAATGGAGGAGAAGGGATTGTGGCATGGCCATCCCCCCCACCAGGGAGTGATTTCCCCCTTTCTGTCTCTCTGTGTGTGTCTGTCTTTCTGGAGAGTGCACATACCCTATAGCAAAATCCTCTCCAAAAAAAAACAAAAAACAAAACAGTAGAATGTGATGCTAACAGTTACCTAAATGTATTTAATTCTTTATTACCTTTCTTATTTTCCAGTATGTTTTAGGAAAAATTATTGCTGATAATGATTTTGGTTACAGAACAGATGTTTTAGAGTACTAGTGTTCAGAAGAAAACTGGGAAATTTTAGTGTTTTGCTTGCTAATATCTGATTATTCTTGGTTTCTAGCTCCCGGATGGACGCATTATCAAAGTTGGGGGAGAGAGATTTGAAGCACCAGAAGCTTTATTTCAGCCTCACTTGATCAATGTTGAGGGAGTAGGTGTTGCTGAATTGCTTTTTAATACAATCCAGGCAGCTGACATTGATACCAGGTACTTTAGAAATGGTAGTTTCAAAGTTTTTTGTCAGAAATAGATAGAAATAAAATGACCAGATTGTCTATATCTCATTCATGTTTTTCAGTAGGTGAGACAAAGTAGTTCTTTTGATGGAGGGGGTGGTATTGGATATTTAACAATAAATATACGTTATTGTTTATTAAAAGTGAAGTTGAGGGACCAGCAAATGGCATAATGGTTGTGTTACTGGCTTCCCATGTAGCCTAGTTGACTGCAGTTTGAGTCCCAAACCCAGCGACTTAAAATTTAGGCCAGGCATATGTGCATGCGTGCCCAAAATCCTGAGAGGAGAATGAAGGAGAAGGGACTGTAGCATGGCCATATCTCCCAGGAGTGAGGGGATTTCTTGCTTTCTGTCTCTCTTTCTGTTTCTCCAGTGAGTCCATGTACCCTATAGCAGAAATCTCTCAAATAAAAAGTGAAGTTAACTTTTTTAATGTTTAAGAGGCAGTTATGTCATTTTGTTCTTTTTAAAAATTATTTAATAATTTATTTTAATTTGACCAAAGAGAGAAACATGGGGCAGGGGGGAGGGGGGTAGTGAGAAAGGAAGCCACGAGGTCCAGGACTTGAACCATGGTGGATCAGGTGGAAGTGCCCAACACCTTAACCGCCATGCTACCTGTTGTTCTTTTTTTTTTTTTTAAGAAATTTATTTAATTTCATTTATTATTATTATTTTTAATTTGCTATAGTACACATGCAATCAACAGAGAGAGAGAAAGTGAGAAAGCAAGCCACCAGGTTTGGGCCTCGAACCGTGGTCGGCCATGTGGGAGTCCAGTGCCTTAACCATCACATCATGTGCTGGACACCCCCCCTCCATTTTGTTCTTATACAGAATTTTTTTTTTCTGTTTTTAGAATTTTTTTTTAATTATTTAATTTTATTTATTCACTCATTTATTTTCATTTGACTAGAGAAAGACAGACACACAGAAGGAAAGCAAGAAACCCACCAGGTCTGGGGCTCAAACTGTGGTCAGCCATGTCAGAGTGTCCAACACCTTTTAACTACTGCACCACCTTCTGGCACCCAATTTTGGTTTGTTTGTTGTTTTATTTTGTTTTTGCATTAGGGTATATGTGCTCAACTTGAGAGATACAGAGGAAGAGGGGAAAATGAACAAGCACCACCCACAGAAGGGATAGTCACACTGCAGTCTCTTCCATTCTCCTTTCGGATTTTGAGCACTCACATGTGCACAGCCTGGCATGTTTTTCAAGCCACTGAGTTCGGAACTCAAAGTGCTCAGTTGGCAAATGGGATCCAGCTGCCTTAACCACCACGCTACTGGTTGGCCTGCTCATGTTTTTGGTCATAAAAAAAATTTGTTTTGGGGACCAGCAGATGATGTAATGGTTATGTTGCTAGACTCCCACATGGCTGACCGCAGTTCAAGTCCCAGACCTAGCAGCTTCAAATTCACACTGGGCTCATGTGCGTGTGTGCCCAAAATCCCTACAGGAGACTGGAGGAGAAGGGATTGCAGCATAGCCATCCCTCTGGGGGGGGGTGATCGCTTTTTATCTCTCTGTCTCTCCAGCGAGCACATGCACCTTATAGCAAAAATCTCTCTTTAAAAAAAAAGTTTTTAGGGACCAGCAGTTAGCATAATGGCTATGTCGCTGGACTCCCACATAGTCGACTGCGGTTTGCGTCCCAGACCTGGTGGCTTAAAACTCACGCCGGGCACATGTGCGTGCATGCCCAAGATCCCAAGAGGAGAATGGAGGAGAAGGGATTGCAGCATGACCATCCCCCCGGGGGGGTGATTTCTCGCTTTCTGTCTCTGTCTCTCTCTGTCTATCTGGCGAGCGCATGCGCCCTATAGCAAAAATCTCTCTCAAAAAAAAAAAACCAAGTTTTTATTTAAGTTAAATGATTTATTATCTTGGCCTAGCCTTGATGGTGCAGTTGGTGATGTACCAGACTACAGCGCTAGAAGCCACATACAGACTGTGGTTCAAGTTCCTAGCCCAGTCATCCTGGAAACATATAGGGTATGTGTTCACGTGCCCAGGATCCTGGCAGGCAGGAGGACTGGATGAAGGAGGGGTTGCAACATCACTACCCCTGTGTAGGTTATACTTTCTCTCTGTCTCTGTCTCTGTCTCTGTCTTTCTCTCTCTCTCTCTCTCTCTCTCTCACACACACACACACACACACACAGTCACAAATGGAAGAAAAAGATGTATTTTATTGTATCTAGAGGTTGAATCACAGTTAGACAATCCTCCTTTACTCAGTTTTTAGAGGGATTCACCCAGAAGCATTTTGTAAAGCAAATGTGTGTGTGTTTGTTTAACCCTGAATTAAATAACCACCTAATTAATTTTGATGGGATGGCTTGGGAGCCAGGATAATAATAGAAATTAATAAAAATAGCAGTTGGCTCATAACAAGCTATAAACTTAATGGGAGATGATCAAAAATCTAATCTAGCCTTCGTAATTATGGTGAATTCTCATGGTAGGGATTCAGTAGATGTTTTTACCCCTTAATTTAAAGATATTAACTGGAAAATTGTATTTAAAAGTGCAGGCCTGTTGGTGGTGGTTCAAGTTTTGGCTTTCCTAAAGCACAGGAGGTTGTCAGGACCCTCTCCACAAGGGTGCTTACAACGCTGCACGACTCAAATGTTGTCATGTGTGTGCTGCATATGAAAGCATACGTGTGCACGTAGGTGTAGCTTCACTTCAGCTGCTTGGCTTGTGCTGCCTTTACAATTCATACGTCAGCAGTTAAATACAAAACAGGGCTTTTCTAGAGCCTTTGTCATTGAGAGCCTAGAAGCAAATAACAATCTGGAATCCAGTTTCAATGAGGCCAAAGTGGATATGACTCAGCCTCCAAACTGAGAAGAGTTCCTCGCTCAGATTCCATTACTTTTACTACATCTGTATACAGTTATTTTAGAATTGGTTATCTGGTATTATAACTAACAACATACTTAAGGGGAAGAAGAGGAGACTTCTATAAGAAGCAAAGACCTACACAGAAAATAACAGCGGACAGCCTCAAGGCAAAGGAACAAAAAGGAAAACTACAAAAGGCCAGTAGAAGAATTGAAAGCAGGAACTCAATTCAGAGTAGAATATGGCTTCTGATAGCAAATGACCACATCAGTGTCTCCAGAGCAGCGCTGTGATGACACAGTCCAAATACTGGAAATGTATAACATAAACCTTGGTCTTCTTTATTTGGAGAGATTTTTGCTGTAGGGTGCATGGGCTTGCCAGAGAGGCAGAAGGTGAGAAATCACTGCCCAGGGTGAATGGCCACACTGCAATCCCTTTTCTTCCGTTCTCCTCTTGGGATTTTGGGCCTGGCATGAGTTTTAAGCTGTCAGGTCTAGGACTCAAACTGCAGTTGTCTATGTGGGAGTCCAGCCACATAACTAATATGCCATCTGCTGGTCCCAAATGTTGGTCATTATTAAAAGACTTGATTATGGGGCCAGCAGGTGCTGTGATGATTAAGGTGTTGGACTCCCACATGGCTGATGACGGTTTGAGTCCTGGACCTGGCAGCTAGCTTGCTTGCTCTCTCTCTCTCTCGTCAAATTGAAGAATAATAATAAAATTAAATCCTTTTTTTTAAAAAAAAAACTTGATTATATTTGCAGGAAAGTATGTTGTGTGTAGAAGTATTATCAAAATTATAAAAAGATTTTATCTGAAAAGAGGTGTTGTTATCTAAAAGTGGTAGGAATAGCAAACATCTAGCCCTGTGATTTACTTGTAGAGTTTATTTAATTCTCCCAGCAACTCCCAGAGGCTGTAATAAATAACAGTAACCCTGAGATACTATTTTCCTAGTCTGAAATCCCAAATGATACCTGTTCTGTTATTCTAGGTCTGAATTCTATAAGCACATTGTGCTTTCTGGAGGGTCTACCATGTACCCTGGCCTGCCATCCCGGCTGGAACGAGAACTTAAACAGCTTTACTTAGAACGAGTTTTAAAGGGAGATGTGGAAAAACTTTCGGTAAGTACTAATAATCCAACTGTAACTCTCTTTTAAAACTCTGAAGTAGCTTGTGAATATTGACAACCACCAGAGGGAGCAAGAAGTCTTCCTATGAACCTATGCTGCCATTAAGTGCAGCCTAGAAGAGGCAGAGGCAGAAAATGATTCAAGGTAAAGTCTGTCCCAGAATGGGGGATACCTGGTCACCTCTGTATTCAGGGAGTGGAGGCAGCGAGATACGGGCCAAACATCCTGGTTTGTCTGTGTGGCCAGCCTGGTGCCTGAAGGTGCACAGGAAGAGCCTGTATATTATGGAGAGACATAGGTCCCACTTGGGTGTTTCTTCCAGCTGCCTCTTAGGGTGTGTAATCAGTCTTCAGCACCACCAAGCTCAGCCCTCTCGCATTTCTGATGTGGGGTTATTTTCCAGCTGTTTGTTGCATATGTTCTTCTATCCAGTCAGATTATAAAACATCATGTCGGGACCAGCAGTTGGTGTAATGGCTATGTCGCTGGACTCCCATGTAGTCGACTGCAGTTTGAGTCCCAGACCTGTGGCTTAAACTCACGGCTGGTGTGTGTGCGTGCGTGCCCAAAGATCCCGAGAGGAGAATGGAGGAGAAGGGATTGTGGCATGGCCATCCCCCCGGGGGTGATTTCTCGCTTTCTGTCTTTCTTTCTGGTGAGCGCACACACCCTGTACCAAAAACCTCTCCAAAAAAAACCTGTCATGTCTTCAATTCTTCGTATCTCAGTAGCTATCATAGCCCTTGAAACAGACTTGAATCGGTAGTTATATACAGGAGAAAGAAAATTTTAAATTAGTATGTAGTAGCTGATAGTTTTTGGTATTTTTTTTCTTCTTTTATAAACTCTGGACTCTGAAGTATACTGTGTGTGCTGTGCACTCACCAAGAGTTACTTCAATCTGGATTCATCTCAGAACTTTATCTCACTGACTTTATCAACTGTCTTAGATAATAAAGTTACATATTATGGAATACTGTACATTTTGGAGATACAAATGTTTATCTCTCATGTATGGCTCATTATTGAAATTAAATTGAGTATGAGCTTGCATAAATTGAACAAAGTAAAAGACAAGAAAGCAACCATGTTGTCTTTTTTTAATTTTTAATTTATTTATTTATTTATTTTTGCTATAGAGCCTGTGTGCACCCTCTAGACAGAGACAGACAGAGAGAAAGTGAGAAGTTACCCCCGGGCAGGGGAAGGCCATACCATAGTCCTTTCTCTTCCGTTCTCCTCTCGGGATTTTGGCCGCGCGCACGCGCACACACACACACACACACACACACACACACACGTGCCTGGCGTGAGTTTTAAGTCACCAGTCCAGGACTTGAACTGCGGTCAGACAGTCCAGCGACGTAACCATTATGCCATCTGCTGGTCCCAGGAACCATATTGTCTAATACTTCACTTATTTTTTTGATTTTACTGAATTAAGTATACATTTTAAAGTCAACCTTCGGTGATCATTTATTTCAGCAAACATTGCTTGCACTTGTTTTGGGTGCCAAAAACTGGTCTAGATGCTGGAAACAAAACAGTGGTAAACAAAAACAGAATCATTACTTGTAGTCGAAATGATTTATTTATAATAAGTACTACAGAGAAAAAATACTGTAAGAGTCGGAGGTAGAGAAGGATGACTGTTGGAGAGGTGGTGTCGCGACTTTGTACACTGATTACGGCAGACCTCTGGCATGGCGACTTAATCTGAGGCCTGAATCTAAAGGAGGCATGCGCCATGTGGCTATCTGGGCAAGTCTTCTAGGCAGGAGCAGTTCCAGCAGTCCACAGTGGTGGAAGTGGACAGAGTGGCAGAACAGCATGAGTACAGGGGAGAGTTGGGAGACGAGGGCAGGAAGGTGGCAGGAAGGCTGGTCTTGCTCTGCCGTGGTAAGGGATTGGCTTTATTTCTGGCCAGATGGGATGTCTTTAGAGGGTTTGAGCTGAGAAGTGATAGGATCTGACTTACATTTTTATGTGATTAATAGACTCCTAGGAGAAGAGGGAACAGGAGTGGACATTGTGTTACCGAACTCAAATCAGGTTCGCTCACCCAAGTACTATAAAACCAAGCCATAGGCACATGGTGTGATGAAGGAAAGTATAGTTTTATTGCAAAGCAAGGAGAGCAGGCAGCTCATGCTGAAAAGACCCAGTCTCCCCGAGATGTTCCCCACATGCGTTTTTAAGGGCAAAATTAGGGGCAGAGGTCCTAGGCACATGATCAGTTAGTTCAGTGATTGGTTCAAGAAGGCGTGATCATCTCGTGGGCATTCTTGATTGGTGAGGCCTTAGATAATCAAATTTCTCTTCAGATGTCTGGAGCCATTTTAGCCTGGAGTCTCTGAGCTCACAACCAGCAGTTGCCAGCCTATAAAACATCTTACACATTGAAATGAAAACCTTATCTTTCCTTTATGTGAGAGTTTTAGAAGTCAAATGGCCCTCACTCATGGTCCTTGTTGGTCATTATCATAGCCAAAAGTCTGAAGTCTTACTCCTTACTCTGGGCCATTACAGTGTAAATGGACTTTATATTTCAGGAATTCTAGAAAATACATTAGGGGGTCCTTGCTCAGTTTCAATTGAAAGAACCATTAGGAGACTACAGGAGAAAGGAGGAGTGGTAGAGATTTAAAATAGTGGGTGAGTTTGAAAAGGTTGTCTTAGAAAATGGAAGAGGGAGTAGAGAAGTGTAATAGGGTTGCTAAGCAGCACTAAGGGCTCAGCTGGAGGTTAGTAATTCATTTAAAGTGAGATGTTGAGTTTCTTTCCTGTCTTGTTCAGGGGCTTGAGGGCAGGTGCTAAGTAGTTTTTAATCTGAGTTGGTGTTTGGCCAAGTGAGTATGAGGGGGAAGAGGATGGCCACTAGGGATGCTGTCCGAAATGGTGGAGAGAACATACGTGTACACAAACCAGGAGCAGGTACGAAGAAGTAACTGGGAGGTCCCAAATGCCTGCAGGAGCCTATAGATGGGCTCAGCAGGGAAGAATGGCAGATGGACTAGTCAGTTTCAGAGAGGCGGTGGGGTTTAGGGAGGAGGGAAATAGAAGCAACAATGAAAAGCAAGTGACAGAGCGAGAAATAGTGATCAGTTGAGAAAGCTAGCTACAAGGGAAACAGTTGTGCAGGGTCTAGCCAAGTTTCCCCTAGAGCAGGGTTGAGCCTGTGCCTCAGCTGGTTGTTGTTATAAATAAAGTTTTACTGGCACACACCCAGGCCCATGTTTACATAGCAATACCGATTGCTGTTTATTGGCCGTGGCTGCCTCCTGGCTGTACTGGATTGGGTAGTGATAGTTGCCAGAGAGGACCCATAGAGCCTCAAGTATTTACTCTCTGGCCCTTTACCAAAAAAAGGTTGCTGGCCTCTACCTAAGAGCAAAAAAGTAACTAGAACAGGGGCCGGCAGGTGTCTTCGTGGTTAGGGGCTCTGGACTCCCTATGGTAGACCATGATTTGAGTCCCAGACCTGGCAACTTGCTTTCTTGCTCTCTCTCTCTCTCTCTCTCTCTCTCTGTGTGTGTGTGTGTGTGTGTGTGTGTGTGTGTGTGTGTGTGTCCTGCTCTGGTCAAATTGAAAATAACAATAATGATAAATAAAGGAAATAATTGTTGTTTTAAAAAGATAGCGAGAACAATTAAAATAGGTTAGTCTCAGAATTAATAAGTAAATAGATGCTTTCCTGTAACATAGATGGTCAGCAGGGTTATATGACATAAAGACAATTTAGAATGACATAGTTACTTGGAATCTTTTTGTAGGATTTGTGACATTATAAATAAAAACTGCAACATCATTTTAAGTAAGGTTTCCCTTTCTCAAATGTTGACCAACAGGCAGGCTAGGGTGTGTTCCTTTTAGACAATAGTAGATACAAAGTAAAACTTTCCTTAATTGTCTAATTTTGGTTCCTGTGTTCCTTTCCTCCAACATCTACCAGTGATTTCTTTTGACCATATTTGGCTTTGTTTACTTTGGGAATATCTCCTTTGAATTTGAGACAATAGAATGTTAGCTTTGCTTATTAAAAAAAAAAAAAAGTGTTTTACTCTGTCTCACGCTTGGATTCATAGCAGCATTTGACCCTAAGGCAAACAAGTTCCTAGGGACCCACAGGTGGCATGGTGGTTAAGGACACGGGACTCCCACATGGCTGACCGCAGTTTGAGTCCTAGACCTGGGGGCTTGCTTTCTTACTTTTCTCTCTCTTGCGCTCTCACTCTATCCCTCTCTATCAAATTAAAAATAAATAAATAAATAAAATTAAGCAATAAAATAGTTGTTTTTTTTGTTTTTGTTTTTTTTTTAAAAAAGAAAAAAGCAAACAAGTTCCTTTATCCACCTGCATTTGACATTAAGTCATTTGCCTATGTGGTCATTTGCCAGTTGCTGGGATAACCTACTAGAATCACATCTCTGGTTCTTAGGTTCTCCGTAGGGTGCTTGGTCATGTAATTTACTGTCCAGTCTGTACTCTTCAGAGAGTGAAAAGGAATACTGTTAATAATAACAAAAGGACAACAGGCGTGAATGGGGACTGTTCACGCACACTGGGATGGATGTGTGATCTCCTAATCATGAGCTTTGGGCAAATGTCTCAGTACTTCAGACATGAAATCCTACTGTCTTGCTAAAATCACAGGACTGTGGAGCAGTTCACTAAGAATATATGAAAAAGTCATTTTTGTAAAGCAGAAGGAACTATTATTGCGCTTGGTGTTTTACTACCCTCTCTTTTTTCCTTTAGAAATTTAAGATCCGCATCGAGGACCCACCCCGCAGAAAGCACATGGTCTTCCTGGGTGGTGCAGTTCTGGCCGACATCATGAAAGACAAAGACAACTTTTGGATGACCCGACAAGAGTACCAGGAAAAGGGTGTCCGTGTGCTGGAGAAGCTTGGTGTGACTGTCCGATAAGCTCCAAAGCTTGTTCCCCTCACACCCCTAATGCTTTCCTTTCTCCTTTCTTGCCAATCTGAACTCATTCAACTCCAGGACATGGAAGAGGCCTCTCTGCGCCCTTTGACTGGAAAGGTCAAGTTTTATCCTAGTGTCTCGGGGAAGCTTTGTTAAATTTTTGTCAGTGTGAGTAAATCTGGTTAACTCGGTCACTTCCCTGCAAACACAACCGGAGGGCAAAGGGTCCTGTGTGCTGCTTTGTTTCTTCTGAGTGGGCGTAGATCATTCCTGTAGGCTCCGATGTTCACTTTTACTGCTCTCCTGCTGCTAGTTTTAGTCTTTAGCACACTAGGTGGTATGCCTTTATTAGCATAAGAAAAAACTTCAACAGGGGCTTTTACATATTGCTGGGGTGGGGGGTGGTAAGGGATGGGTGGACAGCCACCGAACCCTCTAGGGCATTTCCTCTGTAGTGCAGCGCTTTCCAGTTACTGCTGCAGCTTTAAGTACCTTGAAGCTTCTCTTGTCGACATCTTAGGGAAATGTTTGGCTCAGAATAAAGTGTTTGGGGTGGGATTTTGAATGGGGTAGAGGGGAGGGGTGGTCTTTTGATTTCGATGTGTTGAGGTTTTCTGCTCTGGAGTATGTAAAATGAACTTTATTTACAGTACTTTGATTTGGCGGGTTTTCTTCTACTTTGGGCCTGCCTAGAACTGCTTCCGTATCATCTACAAAGCAAGGGTAATACTCCATTCCATGTGGCTTAGGGTTCTGTCATTAACATCAGCCTTGTCATCCGAAAAGTAACCTTTAATGGTGCTTCTGGTCATTCAGATTACAGATGAAAAATATGCTTAAGAGCTGGAGTTTTGTAAATGCTGTTTATTCCAGAAGCGTTAAGGTAACCCATTGCCAAGTACCATTCTTAAAATGATTACTTTATATAACTGACCAGTGCTTATTTACTAAAACAGGTAGATACATATAAATAATTACTGGCAGTAGGTTTTAATTGTTGGGTTAAAAATAACATTGGAACATGGGACTTGTTGCCAGTTGAGTAATTTCCATTTGTTTTTTGTTGTTTTGATTTGAAACCTGGAAGTGGAGTAAAGTTTGACTAAAATGTTGGCAGGAAAAAAATATTTAAATTTGTGTTTGTACTGAAAAACTAATGACTGCTAATTCTTAGCCATCTTTTATGCTTGAAAGACGAGTAGTTGGTATTTTGTAAATATTAACAGACTTTCCTGCCTGTGTCAGGAAATCATATTTATAAATCTCATTGATATTGTGGAGTATCTGAAAAAAATAATATCCAGATATGAGTTCTTTCTAAATTGGAAAAAGAGAATAATGAGAAATTGTATCACGCTAAGTACAAAATACAGATTCTGGGGGAAATTTTTTCCCTTCATTTCATGACATTCTTTACTAATAATGGCTTTGAAAGAAGCAGCTACATTTTTGGGGTGACCGATTTTAGAAATTATTGGCTTGAGAGTTTCTTTTTTGTGAGAAAACAATTAGTTTATATGAAGTAAGCAAAAAAATTAGTTTAACTGTGTGGCTTCTGTTAATATTAACTGTTTTTGTCTTGTTTTACCTCAATTTGAACAAATTAGTTTGCCTGCATGCTGGCCATGCTTCAGTATCCATGAATAGCCCATGAATAATGTCTACTAGATTTTGGGACGTGGATCTCAGAGTCATTTTGAAATTCTCTAGTGTTTCTAAATCATGCTCTCGTAAATATCCCCAGCCTTCGAGGACGGGGCTTGGTAAAAGACACATGTGTAAGACCAGTATCAGCTGGCTGCACAGTTTGGGTACAGGGACTGACTCTTGGCTTTTGGTCATGGTTTTTTAATTCGAGGGTAGAAAGCAACAAAGAGTGGAATAGATTCTTAAGTAACATAGTGAAAGAGTTTCAGTTGTCCCTTGAATGGAGAATTTGTTTTTGATCTCATAAGTCTAGCAAACACCACAGTTAAGACATGATTTGATATATGTATACCTTATACTTTAAAATTCCATTTTATAATTTTCCTATTTCAAGGTGAAATAAGCACTTAGTCATTTGAGGATGGGGAATGGTGGTATTTAATTGTAGTTGCCAGGTAGAGTCCCTCAGAAAATAATGTTGTTTTAAAATAGATTGATTTTTAGCTCTTGAAGCCCATTGTCACTTAAATTTCCAACAATGATTAAAATTCTTTTATTTTTAAATTAAAATTGTAATGCCTTGACTTTTGAGAAGGTTTCTTAGAAATAGGTTCTACCTTTAAACTTATTTCTAGAAATTTGGTTTGGGATGTTAACATTTATGTAGTTCTGAGCAATGTTACTATGTGGAAAATCTTTGAAAGATCAGCTTAATATTCTCAATTCAACAGGAATACACTTCTCTGATTCAGAAAATAAAATCAGATTTTTTCAAAGTAAATTTGAGTTTACCTTTGTTTTTTCTTTTGATAGTTTTCCTCTTTATTCATCTTTTCATTTCGCTAGTTATTAGGTGGAGTTATTGACAAAATAACTCATTTCTGCTTTGATTTTAGAAACATAAGGAAAAGGGACCAGCAGGTGACGTGGTGGTTAAGGCACTGGACACTCCCACATGGCTGACCACAGTTCAAGGCCCGGACCTGGCAGCTTGCATTCTCGCTTTCTTCTCTCTCTCTCTCTCTCTCTCTCTCTCTCTGTGTGTGTGTGTGTGTGTGTGTGTGTGTCTGGTCAAAGTAAAATAAATGAATGAATAAATAAAAGTAAATAAGGAAAAAAAATTACTAGAAATAAGAGCAAACTACACCTACATTAGAGATTTTTTTTTCCTTTCAACAGATTCTTGTTTCCACCAGAGGTTAGGCGTGGCTGGCTCTCCTTGGATTAGGAAGCTGGATAGACTTCTGTGCGACATGCCTCTCTTTAGGGACATTTTGGTATATCTGCAGACTTTTAGAAAGTAAGAAATCATCCCCACAGGGCATGGCCACACCATAGTTCCTTCTCCAGTCTCATCTTGGGATTTTGGGCACACACATACACACACACATGCATCTGGTGTGGTTTGCAAGCCACCAGGTCAAGAATCGAAACCATGGAGTCGGCCATGTGGGAACCAGCACCTTAATTGCCATACCACCTGCTGACCCAAGATGGAGATATGTTTTACTGACCCTTTTATACTAGCCTTGAGGATGAGGGCTGGGGCTAGGCATGAGTATTTTTGTATTTCCTTCTTCATGAATTCGAATGTTTGAACCTCCATGCCCTCATCTCAGTTTGTGTTAGCTGTGAGAGCGCCAGCTGGGTCAGGGGAATCCAATTGATTGCTCTTTTCCTTTTGGCAGAAGGGAATTCCTCTCTCTTACCTCCCCTCTCAACCCACCAGAGGGAAAAAGAAAGACTGGAAAATACCTCGCATTTGATTTCCATGAAATACCTGAAGTAAGAATAGAAGGATTAGAGAATATTTAACCGTGCTCGTGTGGGCCAGTTGAAAAGCTTGGGTTCGAGAAGTGCAGAGACCAATCACAGAGGTGAATAGTGACATTTTCCAGTGCAGGGATAACTTTGAGAACTGTGCCCTTTGCCTTCAATATCAGGTGAGCTTTTTTGCCTGATTGATACTTTTTTTAAGAATAGAAAAGGGGACCAGCAGATGACGTGGTGGTTAAGGGCGCTGGGCTCCCACGTGGTCAACCACAGTTCGAATCCTGGACCTGATGGCTTGCTTTCTTACTCTCCATCTCTCTCACTCTGTCCCTTTCTGGTCAAATTAAAATAAAAAAATTAAATAATTCTTTAAAAATAAAAAAAGACTAGAGAAAGAAAACTCTAATGAGCTACTTTGCTCTTTCTTAAATAGGACTTTAAAAAGGGTCCTCTCAAAAATAAGAATTCTGTTCATAAAAGTTACAGAGCCAGCCATTGGCGTGGTTAATGTGCTGGATCCCACGTGGCTGGCGTGCAGTACAAGTCTCAGGCCTGGTGACTTGAGAAACACATCGGTTGTGCGATTTTGTGCCCAAAGCCCCAAGAGGAGGGAGAAATGGAAGAGAGATTATTGTGGTGGTACCATCTTCCATGGGGGCCCGTTGGCCCTTTTTGCTCTCTGTCTCTGATGAATGTACACAATCTCTAGCAATTTTTTTAAAAAAGTATTTGAATGCAAAGGCATTAATATCAAGAGTTTTTTGGGGGGATAGAGATTTTTGTTATAGGGCACTTGCGCTCGCCAGAGAGACAAAAAGCAAGAAATCATACCCCAGGAAGGGATGGCCACACTGCAGTCTCTTCTCCATTCTCCTCTCGGGATTTTGGGCATGCACACACATGTGCCTGTTGTGAGATTTAAGCTGCCTAGTCTGGGACTCAAAACTGTGGTCGACTATGTGGGAGCCCAGCGACATAACCATTATGCTATCTGCTTGTCCAATATCAAAAGTTTAAAACAATTACTTCAGGAAATTCTGAAGGTAAGTCTGCCACAAAATTAATTTGATCATTTTGTTAAATGAGTATGTTGAGGTTCCATAGGGTTTTGGGGCATATCTGAAGTATGCACAAGAGGATTGCAAGGACTATTTTACTTCAGGAAACTGATTCTAAGGGTTTGTTCAGTAAAAGTTCCTTCTATTAACTGGTCTCATATTTTCATATTTTATGACAACTTAGTGTTCAAAGAGTAAGAAATTTGAGCCTTTGGACAAGCAGGTAGAGTGGTGGTTTAAGTGCTGGATTTCCATGTGGCCCCACCACGGTTCGAGTCCTGGACCTGTGACTTGAAAATTACACCTGCACATGTGCGCATGCCCAGAAATCCCAAGAGGAGAATAGAGAACGAATTGCATTATGACCATCCCCTCCTGAGGAGATGGTTTCTCACTTTCCCTCTCTCTATCTCTCTCTGGTGAGTGCATGTGCCCTATGGCAAAAAAAGAAGAAAGAAAGAGAAAAGAAAGAAAGAAAGAGAAATTTGGGCCTTAACTGAGGCTCAAGTGGCAAAAGTAAACTGATCATGCACTTTTTTACTTAAAGAATTATTTTAACCTTATTTATTTATTTTAATTTTACCAGAGAGGGACAGAGTGAGAGAGAGAGAGAGTGAGAAAGAGAGGGAAGGTGAGAAAACAAGCCGCCAGGTCCAGGACTCAAACTGTGGTCAGCCATGTGGGAGTCCAGCACCTCTTTAATCACCATGCCACCTGCCGGCCCCAGTAACACACATTTGACCCCGTGGTTTGAAACTTTAAATCTACCTCTGTTTGTTTCCCCTTTCTTTTTTAGATTTCCATTTTAAAGCTTCTGGCATTAATTGAGTTTGATTTAAGAACTGTTAAAAAGAACCTAAATTTTGGAATCTATAACTGTGGTGACGATTCAAAGGCCCTTGATCAGTTAGGGAGGCTATTTTGCTTGTTCGTCTTAATGATTTAGGTGGAATTCAAGCAGATACTTTCAGCATTGAAGTGTCCTGCTTATGCAACTGAGAGTGCTGAAGGAAACACTAAAACGAAACCACGTTTTGTTTTCCTTTTAATATGGTAAGCATCCTATAGGAAATGATGTAGCTAGAGTAGTGTGTAACTACATTTATTAAATAGTCAAATTATTTCCCCTCTAGTGTCTTTCGATAAGCTCAGAATCTCTTGAAGTATTAAAAAATGCAGGCCCCAGGGACCAGCCGATGGCATAACGCTTACGTCGCTGGACTCCCACATAGTTGACTGCAGTTTGAACCCCAGACCCAGTGACTTTAAAACTCACACCCGTGGCCCAAGATCCCAGGAGGAGAGTGAAGAAGAAAGGATTGTGGCATGGCCATCGCTCCTGGGGGGTGATTCTCACTTTCTGTTTCTCTGTCTCTCCAGCGAGCACAAACACCCTATGGCAAAGATCTCAGGAAAAGAAAATGCAGGCCCCTGAACCATGCTTTGGCCATACCCCATGGGAGCAGGAGTACCAGCTTTCCAGCCAGGCTCTGGGAGCTCTCCTACCCCTGCTGTTGGGTGCTAAGAGGAAAGTCAGCCCCGAAGGATGAAGCGCTCCTCCCCCTGCCCTTGCTGCCTCTTTCTTGGGGAAGCTGGGAGCTTTTAGCAGGTCAGTTGAGGAGGGAAATGGGAAGATGCCCTGGAAAGCTGGAACCACTTAGAGACCAACTCTCAGGGCTGATCTCCAGGGTGCTGACCTCCCTCCCCTGATAGAACAGGTAGAACATTCAAGCCAGCGGGTGATAAACACCCTTGCCTCAAAATGCAAATTCTGGGTAGGTTTAACATACCATCAGTCATTTACACAAATGTGTGGATTAAAAAGGAAGGCCAGTGACTCACTGACACCTAGGCACAGTTAGCAGCTCTTTGTTATTTAAGTGAGGGGAACGTCTGTAACTGGAGAGCAGTGGGCCCTGAGGAAATGCAGTTTTCAGAGCAAGCTCTTCCAGAGCCTAGGAGATGGGAAAGTGGTGAAATAACCAAAGCAAACTGCTGGTATCTAGCGAGCAGATATCTGCACTTCTCACTTGCAGGGTTCCCAGCCCCCACCTCAGACTAGTACAGCTAGTGCTACAAGCCGGCCGCTTGCAGGCAAAATCATTGGTTGTGTGGCCAAGAGACCCACTTAGCAGGGGCCGCTCTGCTTCTGCAGAGGATAGAACTGTTTGAGGTTCCCCACCAACTTACACACGGACTTTTGGATGCAACTTGGGGACTACCTATGCACGGTTCCTTCATATATTTTTTTTAAATAAATACAAGTCCAGTGAATTCCACATTTTGGAAGTTTGCAGAATTATTTGAGCTGATCCTTGTGAGAGCGTGGGGAAGTGTTTATCCTTGCATTTGCTCTGTCAGGTAAGGGTGATGTTTGTTAGTCCAAGATTTGGAAGGTGCACGTGTAGGTGATGAGCACGTGTG